TTGATTGGATCTCAGTTTCTTCCTCTTAAAAGTAAAGATGGCCTTAGACTATATAAGCCACAAGACCCCTTTTAGCTTACAAACTTCGTTTTAGACAAATATATTAAAATGAATGCTTTACATGAAATGTTATAAAAACCTGCCACATTTAAAATTACTAGGCTTTCATTAAATAATTTGTTGTTAAAATATTTATTTAAATTCAGTGGATTGCTTAGTTTTAATTATTAAACTAATCAATATAAGCAAATGAGTTATAACTAACCACATCCAAATTTTAAAAGTTAAATAATAGGAAAATGACTTTTAAATGTGCAGCATAGTACCAGTTGTTCTGTTTTCATTAATTGTCATGTACCTTGCCATGTCCTTTATCTGCTTGTGAATTTACAAGAAACACAGCAGGTTGTGAATTTTTAATAGGCTTTCCTCAAGGAAAGAAAAGGTCAGTATTAACATAAAATTCTTCTTAAGGATTTGTGGCCCAAATGTTTCACACAGGAGAACAGGGGATACTGCGGAACTAAAGCCACAATAATCTGATATTTTTTTCTATGTTTAAAGAAACCTTAATATCTCACATAATAAAATAGCACAAGGTCAAATCAATATAAAATTTATTTCGGAGTAGACGTTTTAAGTTATTTAGCACTTGATCCATAATCCCACTTCTCAATAACACAAACAACTGATTTTAATAAAATATTTAATAAATCCAAGTATTGGTAACTAATATCCAAATGAAAAAAGGAAGAGTAGTGAGAAAGCTACAGTTATAAGGACTAACCCCTGTCTGCTCATTGCTTAGTAAATGAGTTCTCTTTACTTGTCCAATTCTCAAATATGTTTATTTAAATAATATTTCAATAAACGTAGACTAATGTCAAGCCCCCAAATATGGTCATTTTTGTCCTTTTACTCTAGTGTTAGTGTTCCATTGTTTCCCTCTGTAAGAAAATAAAATGCTTTTTCTTTTCTTTTATGCAGGCTCTCACACAGTTCAAGAAAAAATTATTATGTCTGGTTTCTTAAAAGCAACACATAAATTCATAGATCTAATTTATTTCTCTTAATTAAAAGGTAGAAATCCTTTCATTTCCGACTCACGAAACCAACAGTCCAGTTTCCAACCCTCATCGCTTTGATTCCCAACTATCATGTTCAATTTTCTAATCCAACGGAAACTGCCACCCTATGTGGTCCAATTACAAGATTTAATTTTCACTCTCTGTAGTATAAGTGAAGGTAAAAATCCTGCTGTGATTCATATTCCAAAACTGAGCTTTATAAAAATTAAAATATCACTATACTAGCAACTTTTTTTTTGCACGTCTAACCGATTAGAAGAGCAGAACTGGTCTTAATGATTCCCATCTTGTCTTATTTCCTTCTCCACTCTGAATCTACCTTCTATATCCATCCAGTGTCCTTTATGAGGTGTAAAATTTGTAAAATGCAAAAAAAATTCCCAGGTTTTAACCTCTACTCATTCTTTATCACGTAGCTTAGGGGATATATGCTTAAGGAAATCCTCACTCATTCCTGTAGGCTAGTTTAGGGACTATCCTGTGAAATTCCATCACACACTGTGTTTGAATCTTCCATAGCACTAGGATGGAATTGTTCATTTACTTTTAGAACTACCTGATTCTTATGAGAGTAAATAAATATTTCTCAATTAAAATTGTTGAATGAATAGACAATAAACATCATAACTGTCTAGTACAAATCACAGTTATATGATCAGATGATTGATAATATCAATAATCTTTTCTTGAACTATTTTGACTCCCAGACAGAATAAGAAATATGCAATGCTTATATCTGTTATTTGGAAAATTGCCACATTATTGTACATTTATATAATTGGAAAGTTTCCCAGCAACTATGTGCATTTCAGTTACTAAAAAGCTTCAGTTTTGGGCTTCCCTGGTGGCGCAGTGGTTGAGAGTCCGCCTACCGATGTAGAGGACAGGGGTTCGTGCCCCAGCCTGGGAGGATCCCACATGGCGCGGAGCGACTGGGCCCTTGAGCAGTGGCCGCTGAGCCTGCGCGTCCGGAGCCTGTGCTCTGCAA